GCTACCCACAGTCAACAGGGAACTTGTGGCCAGGCACAAGGGGTACATGGATGCAGCTAATGGGGTCGCTTTCGGCACTTGTGCCAGTGGTTGTGAGACTTACCCACTCACCCCCACCGTTAGGCGCTGCATCTGCCGCTAGGGTTTATCGGGTGTTAGCGGCCGTCGTGAGTTCCCTTCGGGAACGGATACGATAATTTACTTCTTTTTTTTTTAACTTCCCCTTTAACAGATGCGTTGACCTCATGCAATGAGTGAAATGCGAACTGTCATTATTATAATTTATTATTATTATTATTAAGTAGTGGTTGCGACTTCGGCAATGATTTGTAAGAAAGGTTTGCTCCCCACACCGGAGCTCGCGCTATTCCGCCGACTACTCAAGCTCAACTGATGAGGGGTGAATTCCCCGAAACACTGTGTTTTGAGCAGGGAGTGGTGCTTTCTTGCAGGTTTGCCGAGTCGAAGGTTCGATGGACTTCTCGTGTGCTCTGGATGGCAGTCGTGAGTCAGTCAAGTGTCAAGTAAAGTCGGCGGAATAGCGCGAGCTCCGGTGTGGGGAGCAAACCTTTATTATTATTATTATTATTTGAAACTCGGATGTTGAGCCATAAATAAATGTAAAAGAGAAAAGGACATATGGATACGAGTTAAGAGTAACTCTCCATCACTGTAACATGATACTATATACAGTCAGAAAGTGCAATAACTAGGCACAAAACTGACAGAGTACTGAGACATTCGACGTCCTGACACCTAACTTCAACACATCTCCGTAGCGCTAACCGACAGCCTTCCAACTTGGAAGGTTCAAGGTTATGGAAAGACCAAAGAGGGGAAGGCAAGCGCAACGAAAACGAGCAAAAGCTACAGTCCCAACGGAACAAAGAATGTCGATTGTTACTGGACGATGACGAGACCAGTACGATATTTAGTAACAATCGACATTCTTTGTTCCGTTGGGACTGTAGCTTTTGCTCGTTTTCGTTGCGCTTGCCTTCCCCTCTTTGGTCTTTCCATAACCTTGAACCTTCCAAGTTAGAAGGCTGTCGGTTCGCGCTACGGAGATGTGTTGAAGTTAGGTGTCAGGACGCCGAATGTCTCAGTACTCTGTCAGTTTTGTGCCTAGTTATTGCACTTTCTGACTGTATATAGTATCATGTTACAGTGATGGAGAGTTACTCTTAACTCGTATCCATATGTCCTGTTCTCTTTTACATTATTATTATTATTATTGTCTCTGCTGGGATGACGACTACACCATAGCTCAGTGGTTAGAGCATCGCTGGCTACAAGCGAGGGTCCCTGGTTCGAGTCCTGGTGGTGACGGTCGATTTTTTCTTCAGACTTTTCCCGTTTGTCTCTTTCCCTCAAACCAGTTAAAATTATTATTATTATTATTATTATTTCAAAGGATCAGTTGGGGATGTGAACTGCCTGAAAAGAGAAAAAATCAAGTGCCATCAGTATGTGTGGCACGTGTTGTGAGCTGCCTTTGGAGTGAAAAACTTGTCAGCGCCTTCTAGGTTCAGCCTGGTCCCATAGCTCAGTGGTTAGAGCATTGCTCATGACAAGCAGGGTCCCAGGTTCGAGTCCTGGTGGGTCTGGCGATTTTTTCTCTTTTCAGGCAGTTCACTTCCCCAACTGATCCTTTGAAATTGAAGTTCTCCCAATCCTTTCCAAATTTAATCACTTTCTTTCACCTCTGGTAGTTTCCAGAAACTGACCGTGGTTGGTCCCCTGGGGGAGGGAAAAAGACTCAAGTGCCATCAGTATGTGTGGCACGTGTTGTGAGCTGCCTTTGGAGTGAAAAACTTGTCAGCGCCTTCTAGGTTCAGCCTGGTCCCATAGCTCAGTGGTTAGAGCATTGCTCATGACAAGCAGGGTCCCAGGTTCGAGTCCTGGTGGGTCTGGCGATTTTTTCTCTTTTCAGGCAGTTCACTTCCCCAACTGATCCTTTGAAATTGAAGTTCTCCCAATCCTTTCCAAATTTAATCACTTTCTTTCACCTCTGGTAGTTTCCAGAAACTGACCGTGGTTGGTCCCCTGGGGGAGGGAAAAAGACTCAAGTGCCATCAGTATGTGTGGCACGTGTTGTGAGCTGCCTTTGGAGTGAAAAACTTGTCAGCGCCTTCTAGGTTCAGCCTGGTCCCATAGCTCAGTGGTTAGAGCATTGCTCATGACAAGCAGGGTCCCAGGTTCGAGTCCTGGTGGGTCTGGCGATTTTTTCTCTTTTCAGGCAGTTCACTTCCCCAACTGATCCTTTGAAATTGAAGTTCTCCCAATCCTTTCCAAATTTAATCACTTTCTTTCACCTCTGGTAGTTTCCAGAAACTGACCGTGGTTGGTCCCCTGGGGGAGGGAAAAAGACTCAAGTGCCATCAGTATGTGTGGCACGTGTTGTGAGCTGCCTTTGGAGTGAAAAACTTGTCAGCGCCTTCTAGGTTCAGCCTGGTCCCATAGCTCAGTGGTTAGAGCATTGCTCATGACAAGCAGGGTCCCAGGTTCGAGTCCTGGTGGGTCTGGCGATTTTTTCTCTTTTCAGGCAGTTCACTTCCCCAACTGATCCTTTGAAATTGAAGTTCTCCCAATCCTTTCCAAATTTAATCACTTTCTTTCACCTCTGGTAGTTTCCAGAAACTGACCGTGGTTGGTCCCCTGGGGGAGGGAAAAAGACTCAAGTGCCATCAGTATGTGTGGCACGTGTTGTGAGCTGCCTTTGGAGTGAAAAACTTGTCAGCGCCTTCTAGGTTCAGCCTGGTCCCATAGCTCAGTGGTTAGAGCATTGCTCATGACAAGCAGGGTCCCAGGTTCGAGTCCTGGTGGGTCTGGCGATTTTTTCTCTTTTCAGGCAGTTCACTTCCCCAACTGATCCTTTGAAATTGAAGTTCTCCCAATCCTTTCCAAATTTAATCACTTTCTTTCACCTCTGGTAGTTTCCAGAAACTGACCGTGGTTGGTCCCCTGGGGGAGGGAAAAAGACTCACGTGCCATCAGTATGTGTGGCACGTGTTGTGAGCTGCCTTTGGAGTGAAAAACTTGTCAGCGCCTTCTAGGTTCAGCCTGGTCCCATAGCTCAGTGGTTAGAGCATTGCTCATGACAAGCAGGGTCCCAGGTTCGAGTCCTGGTGGGTCTGGCGATTTTTTCTCTTTTCAGGCAGTTCACTTCCCCAACTGATCCTTTGAAATTGAAGTTCTCCCAATCCTTTCCAAATTTAATCACTTTCTTTCACCTCTGGTAGTTTCCAGAAACTGACCGTGGTTGGTCCCCTGGGGGAGGGAAAAAGACTCAAGTGCCATCAGTATGTGTGGCACGTGTTGTGAGCTGCCTTTGGAGTGAAAAACTTGTCAGCGCCTTCTAGGTTCAGCCTGGTCCCATAGCTCAGTGGTTAGAGCATTGCTCATGACAAGCAGGGTCCCAGGTTCGAGTCCTGGTGGGTCTGGCGATTTTTTCTCTGTTCAGGCAGTTCACTTCCCCAACTGATCCTTTGAAATTGAAGTTCTCCCAATCCTTTCCAAATTTAATCACTTTCTTTCACCTCTGGTAGTTTCCAGAAACTGACCGTGGTTGGTCCCCTGGGGGAGGGAAAAAGACTCAAGTGCCATCAGTATGTGTGGCACGTGTTGTGAGCTGCCTTTGGAGTGAAAAACTTGTCAGCGCCTTCTAGGTTCAGCCTGGTCCCATAGCTCAGTGGTTAGAGCATTGCTCATGACAAGCAGGGTCCCAGGTTCGAGTCCTGGTGGGTCTGGCGATTTTTTCTCTTTTCAGGCAGTTCACTTCCCCAACTGATCCTTTGAAATTGAAGTTCTCCCAATCCTTTCCAAATTTAATCACTTTCTTTCACCTCTGGTAGTTTCCAGAAACTGACCGTGGTTGGTCCCCTGGGGGAGGGAAAAAGACTCAAGTGCCATCAGTATGTGTGGCACGTGTTGTGAGCTGCCTTTGGAGTGAAAAACTTGTCAGCGCCTTCTAGGTTCAGCCTGGTCCCATAGCTCAGTGGTTAGAGCATTGCTCATGACAAGCAGGGTCCCAGGTTCGAGTCCTGGTGGGTCTGGCGATTTTTTCTCTTTTCAGGCAGTTCACTTCCCCAACTGATCCTTTGAAATTGAAGTTCTCCCAATCCTTTCCAAATTTAATCACTTTCTTTCACCTCTGGTAGTTTCCAGAAACTGACCGTGGTTGGTCCCCTGGGGGAGGGAAAAAGACTCAAGTGCCATCAGTATGTGTGGCACGTGTTGTGAGCTGCCTTTGGAGTGAAAAACTTGTCAGCGCCTTCTAGGTTCAGCCTGGTCCCATAGCTCAGTGGTTAGAGCATTGCTCATGACAAGCAGGGTCCCAGGTTCGAGTCCTGGTGGGTCTGGCGATTTTTTCTCTTTTCAGGCAGTTCACTTCCCCAACTGATCCTTTGAAATTGAAGTTCTCCCAATCCTTTCCAAATTATTATTATTAATATTATTATGTACATGACTATATGTATGCATGCCATGTTGAATTTTTTTACAGCATTTTCCGGTAATTTTTATTCATTTTTAACAGAGAACAGTATACGCGGTTTACCCTTTCGATTTTTCTATTGATATTTGCGCCTTGATATTTCGGCCAACGATGGCCCTGATCTGTACATCATGGAGGCGTACAAGCTCGGGTTTGTGTGACTCCACGTCATAGATCTACTCACATGATCAGTACTGTACATGTATGAACTGTTCAAAAAAAATTGGCTTTGGCTCGATTTTGGTGCGGGAGGGCCCGGGAATCTCTAATTTTTTTTGGTCTCGCCTAATATGTTGAATAAACGTGACTTGGAGTTTTTACGAGTTGATTCTAAATAATAGTCATTTTCACGACCAGCGCCTGCCTACATTTTGTTGTAGTCTGCAACCGGTTACCGCTAAGCATGTGTCGTATTAGTATAGGACTCCCTGCCGCTAAAAAGCATGTGGGTTTTCACCAGAGTCCAGAGAGTGGTATTTTCGACTCCCCGGTTTTCGCTGAAAACTCTTTCCTCGCCAGGCTCATAATAAAATTTATTGTTGTAGCAGCTATCGTGCTTACTCTTGAAGAAGAACAAAATAGTAGTAATGGTACGGCCGGATCGGACCCAGCGGAATGATGAGAGATAAGAGGCTTGTTGTTAGCGCCGAAAGCGGCCGGAGAAGTCAGCTGTAGAGTTGTGCATACTGACCTATGATGAATGATGTGATGTACTGATTATGATAGGACCTTCGAACAGCGGTGCGCTTCAAGGAAGGAACAGTAATTTTCTTGACGCTAGCGAACCTTCAGGGCCGCTTTCAAGTTTGGGATGTGTAAGTAACAAGTTCGTTGTCGCTGAAGCTGGAGTCTTCGAGTCTTGAAATAGTCTATGGCGAGTAGCCCATGAGCAATGGCGGGTTTCAGTTTGTCGAACCTGTTCAGGACACCGAAGTACTTCCAGCTAGGCATCGGCGGCTAATGCTTGTTTTTTTCACAGTATAATGCTTTTGGCAGTGCTCGATATTTCACGGCATAATGCCTGTTATAATGCTCCATTCACACTATAATGCTAGAGTGATATGTACATTTTCGAGCTATCTTGGGCAAATAATGCACCTGGAAAAGAAATGTATCCACAATTGGCTCATACTGAGATAAGGAAGTGTAGTTGTATATGCATGACCACACAAAAACACGCAACTGTCGGAAGAGCGACGCAAGAGTGTCGGTACACTGTCTGTACAAGCCTCTTGTCATGTGAAAAGACGTGTAAAAAGTCTTGTATTGTACAAGAATAGAACTGATAATGCTTTCTCCAGCCAAAACATGCCACCTAATGCCGAGCACTGCTACTTCTTCAAAACACCCATATAATGCTAGTTATAATGCTAGCATTAGCCGCCGATGCCTACTTCCAGCTCTGTAAATTTTCTACCATGGTCCACGGCTGTGTCTTCCATAGCATCTGTGTGTGTGTGTGTGTGTGTGTGTGTGTGTGTGTGCGTGTGTCCGCACGTGTGTGTGCGTGTGTGTTTGTGTGTGTGTGTGTGTATGTGCATGTGCGTGTGTGTTTGCGCGCGCGCGAGCGCGCGTGTGTGTGTGTGTGTTTTTGTGTACCGTACTCACTTGATTAGAAGCCCCTCTTGAATAATAGTACCGGTATGTGTGGGGGTGGGTGTGGGTGGGTGCACGCAGGGCAGTAGCGCCCGGTCCGGTTGGTCTCAAAATGGCCGGACCATAATTATTTCGAAAACTTGACCCACCTCATTTGTGCAAACGTGTTTTTCCTCACTATTAGAGAGTTTAAGATACACGTTATTTCTGACGTGACGCGAAAGTTTAGCTCGCGTTATTTGGCTCATGCTTCGAAAAACAACACAAGTGATCTGCAGCTAACGTCAAAATTTGAGTTTTACGCCATATTTGACGTGAAATAAAGTGCATCTTAACCCCTCTAATGTTCATTTCAGGTCAAGTAAAATATCCCACTTCACAGGACCGCCACCTGAAATTCCCATGCTACAGCCCACTCTCTGCTCAATACACAGTGTTTCGGGAATTCACCCCTCATCAGTTTAGCTTGAGTAGGCTGAGGAAGATTGTGCCTGAAAAGCACCACTTATATACTGCTCTCCAGGCCAAACCATCACCAGGGATACAAACTTACACAGACGCTTTGTTTCCAGCTTGACAAACGCCTCGTGAAGCCGCAGGTAGCAGCGTGAGTCAGAGTCGCTTATGGAGTTGTGCTAAACAGACGTTGAGAGCCAGTATAGCTATTCGCAACGCTGTCACCTCCAACAACTAGTCGCACGTCCGCTTGAGGGACAACAATACGACTTAGAAGTTGCAACTTTGGCGGTACTACCGTAAAGTCCGCTGCAAACGCCCACCCCAGCGGGTCCATACTATTTTCGTCTTTTTCAGGTCAATATAGTTGTAGAAAACTGGCATGAAGGTCGAATGCATACGAGAATGACTATAATGCCTACAAACTGCCTATGTCTTACCAACAGGCTCTGAAAAAGCCATTGTCATTATCTTGCTGCAAAGAAAAAAACTTCGATCGAGATTTCCTTTCATACGATGAATGAGTCATATTTGTTATTAGTTCGTTCTCCATGAAGTAATGCCGTAGAATCTATCTGGTTTTCAAATCATGGAATTTCTGCAGCGCTTGCTACGATGTCGCGCTTTCAGAATGAAACGGTGAGTGTTCTGACGAAGCGTCATTTAACGACTTAACAGGTCGCAGTATTGCAGTTGCAAGTCCAACAGGGGGGATGTCACAGAAGCTACACCTACAAAGTCATTGCTAACTTGTTGAAAACTCTGAAGTGCTCGAGAAAAACCCTTGCCATTGCGCTTTGCGTGATTTGGAAATGATGGCTTGAAACACCGTCAGAAGAGTATTTGGTTCCTGCAATAGCCTGTTCTTCGCTACCTTGTTATTCCGAAGTAACTTCCGTTTGGATTTGCGAAATAGAACAACCAACATCATAAAATCACTATAAGTAGGAGCTAGTTGACAATTCTGGTGGTAAAGACACACCTGGCAATATGGTGTCTTTTAATACCACCCGATATTTATCAACCATAAGTTCAGCTGCAGTGGTGTCTTCAATTTCAAGTAGGAACTAGCTCGTAACTAGTGCCCAAAAACATTTTGAAACCCGGAAAATAGACATAGTTTACCGTAGCAAAGCGCTCCTCGCGCTACGGTGTGAGATGCACTTTCGTACAGTAGGGGTGACAGTGCGTATAGGCCAGCAGATCTTGCAAGAATGGGGTGGGCGTTTGCAGCGGACTTTACGGTAATCATGAAGTTGGTTGTTCCAACGAGGAACACCCTCTTCTTGCCGAACTTGACACTTGACTGACTCGCGACTGCTTTTCAGGAACAATCTTCCTCAGCCTACTCAAGCTCAACTGATGAGGGGTGAATTCCCCGAAACACTGTGTATTGAGCAGGGAGTGGTGCTTTCCTGCAGGTTTGCTGAGTGGAAGGTGCGACGTGCCCCTCGTGTGCTCCGGATGGCAGTCGCGAGTCAGTCAAGTGTCAAGTTCGGCAAGAAGCGTGTGTTCCTCGTTGGAACAAACAACTTCATGACCAATACCGCCGAAGTCGCCAGAATATTTTTTGTTACAAAAATAATGAAAAACGTAGTAGATATCTGCACAGACATCTACGTCTGTGTATCAGTGTTGTTTTGACCATCATTCTTTTGGTTGAATTACTGGTATTTCCAGTGTGGCTTACACTGCGGGAAACAGGGTAGTCATTTTTCATTCACGCATACATGTACTGCAAGTCTACAGATTTTCGGCGCCTTCAAATTTCGACCTCCCAAGGTAGAATACATCTCGGCCTCCCAGGGTTAAAACACATTTCGGCCGTATTAAAATTCTGTGGCTGTACTGCTGCTGTCTGTCTACTGTGCACTGTCCCAATTAAGTCTGCAAAATAAAAGCCGCAACAATTTTGCGGCCAATAATGTCCAGGACCGAAAATATATACGACACTCGCGCGATTAGTGCCCCTGGGACACTATGTTTTCAATATCCATCATAGATGGGGCAGTATTCAGGAGAGGGCACTATGTTTTCAATGCTGGTACATTTACGCCATCCGGCATTAAAGCGGGATTCACAGAAGATTTTTTGCGATGCGACACGCGATGCGACGCGATCTGCGATGGATGCGTGCGATGCGAACTCGCGAAATACCATTCACAGAAGAAGTCAGCGATGCGACAAAGTTTTGCTGATTTGGGTACGTCACCATGATATTCGCGCGGTTTGACACAACTTGTAAAAAATTATAGGCAACTCTTGCACCTTTGTACAACTTTGCTGTTGAAAAGGTCAAAATCCTACACCAAATCGCTTGTCGCATCGCATCGCATCGCAAAAGTTGAGCCAAGCTCAACTTCTGCGATGGCCTGCGATGGCCCAGTTGCGGCAGTTGCGTGGGGTGCGACATGGCTGCGATTTGGGGTTTTCCCGGTTTCGCGTCTGTCGCATCGCAAAAATGCTTCTGTGAATCCCGCTTAAGACAATGAAGGCAAAGAAAAACTGAGCCTAACGCTTACTGTAAACTATCACGACTCAACAATAACGGCAACAAAAACTGCGTTTTTGATCCTGAAACCACCAGTGAAATAAGATGGACAAGTACATTAGCAAAAGAACACCAAACTTGCACAAGCGCTGGTTACAGGCCAGATGGGGGGGGGGGGGGGGGCATTGTTCAAGAGAGGGCTTTATTGTTTTCACTGGCTCTTAGAGGCTGGGGCCCCATTTGAGATAGGGCACTATTCAAGAGAGGTCTTTAATGTGCCGACTATTTGTTGATTTACAGTACAGTAAACCCTGGGTTAAGCAAGCTCCGGTATTAGCAAACACCTGGTTTTAACAACAGTTTTGAAACTACGACAATCTGGCAGACTTCTAGTGTACCAAGTGCCGCCTCTGTCCTGCGTACAGCGATCAAAAGCTCCGATGCGCAATCTGCATGCACTGGAGTGAGGTGTGTGACAACTTTGAGAGCTCCTGGGTGTTTCGTCTGCATGACGCTCACAGTGACAGTGATCCCATGATTCCCAGCACCTCTCCTTAGGAGTATTGGTACATGGAAGTACTATAAATATTACACTGAGCAATGAAGGAAACAAACCTCTATGCCCCTGATAGCGAGGTACATGGAAGTATGTGCACGATTTGGTATGCCGCGGATGTATTAGACCTTTTTCTAAAGACAACTTGGCTTTAACGATCGCTTTTGCTCGCAAGGGGGTTGCTTTAAAGGGGAAGTTAAGGCAAAAATTAAAATTTCACCAGTTGTAGTTTTCGGGGTGCTGAGTCGAATGGTCTTGGTCCGAGAAAGCTGAGATGCTCCCTTCCTGCTTGAATCCCAATCGAACTCGCGCACTTCCACCGAAACTGGGTGACTGCGCCCTACTAGATGGGGATTTGTATGCAAAATGTCACTAAAAGCGCCGTTTCGTTCTTATAAAAGCACGGATGACCGCGATTGGCCCATATGTTGTAGTCTTTTGGACGCTGAGTCGACTGGTTTTGGTCCGAAAAGGCTGCGGTGCAGCGTTCCTCCTTTATTCCCAATCGAACATGATTGAACAAGTGGTCACATGCTCCTGGGTGCCCAAATCACCTGGTCACACCGCCAGCAGGCGACAACTTTCACACCAAGGTTCAACTCGAGTTCAACTCGAGTGACAGGACTGCACCCAAAAAAGGTCAAACAGGCTAGTAAGTTGTACCCTGCAGGCACGGTGACCAGCTGACTGGTGTACGCAGGAGCACGTGACCGCTTGTTCAACCATGTTCGATTGGGAATAAAGGAGGAACGCTGCATCGCGGCCTTTTCGGACCAAAACCAGTCGACTCAGCGTCCAAAAGACTACAACATATGGGCCAATCGCGGTCATCCGTGCTTTTATAAGAACGAAATGGCGCATTTAGTGACATTTTGCATACAAATCCCCATCTAGTAGGGCGCAGTCACCCAGCTTCGGTGGAAGTGCGCGAGTTCGATTGGGATTCAAGTAGGAAGGGAGCGTCTCAGCTTTCTCGGACCAAGACCATTCGACTCAGCACCCCGAAGACTACAACTGGTTTTAATTTTTGCCTTAACTTCCCCTTTAAACTAGGATTTTTTACTGAATACCGCCGAACTATCAGAGGCTGCACAGTGGGGGGGGGGGGGGGAGGGGGGGGGGAGCAGTGGCATATTGGATGGAAATGGGGTTCTACTGTATGAAGTATCTTTGCTTGTTCATGTTGCATGGTGGTGCATGCTGGTGCATGCTGGTGCATGGTGGTGCATGCTGGTGGGAGCAACGGGGAATTGAGGACATTTGGTGTCAGTCCCTTGGGTGTTCCTAATTGTCAGGTTCGACTGTATCGCAAATTGATTGCTAATATTTGTCTTGTTTTGTTTGTAGAAGAACAAAAGGACCAAGGAACTACAAGTTACATGGGTTTTTTGTTTCATTATCTCTTGTGCTTTTGCAGTCGTCCACTAATGCGGACTACTTACTGCTAACATGCAGTGCAACATCTATACAGGCCGTCAGCAGCAAGAAACACAATCATGGCAGCGTTTATAATGATCTTCGCCCGCTACCGCCACTTTCCAGCCGAACCTGGACCATGGATGACGGTTCGGTAGAGACAGAATTACTGGTGCACCCCAGCTAGCTACGGACCAGGACTATAGGAGTGACTGGTGTTCAGCTGGAGGACTATAGGAGTGACTGGTGTTCAGCTGGAGTCGGAAGCCCATGCCTGCTGCATATACTTGGTAAGTGTGCATTCAAATCACGGGATAGAACAGCAGTATAGGGAAAGTCGTCATGACAGTTTTCGAAATAATTCGCGCTCACGTGACCTTCCCGGCAGCAATAGCAGTAGGATTTTCCCGACCCCTTTTGAGGCACTCGGAATCCTTTTACGGTCGGAAACGTACGAGTAAGAACACCAACACTGCCATAGCATGTACAGACAGACCACTACATGTACAGTACAGACCACTGCATGTACAGTACAGACCACTGCATGTACAGACCACTGCACCAGGGAGTATTAACTGCACTGTACCGACTTGTTGTGAACTCTACTCAATTTTTTATTTGAGCTTCAAGCACGCTAGCGTCCTTCACAAAGCAAGGAGCTTTTGGAAAATACTCGAGACGCGTGCAGCTCTTGAGCATGCCTCCCGTTCTCTTCACGTCCAAAACGGAGAACCATCTCATGCGGGTCTATGAGCAGGTGTGAGTCCGCTCAAGCAGATACACGTTGAAGGCGTGCGAAAAAAATGCGCTGGTGGCAGAGCAGTTGAATGGCAAAGGGAAAGAGCAAGGCTGGCGGGAGGTGACGGCTAACAATGTCGCTACCAAAAATGGATACGCTCCGGAGAAAAGTGCTCATGGGTCAAACGTGAGAGAAAAGTGTTCATGGGTCAAACGTGAGTGAATAGAGCTCATGGGTCAAACGTGATTGAAAAGTGTTCATGGGTCAAACGTGAGTGAAAAGTGGTCATGGGTCAAACGTGAGTGTAAAGTGTTCATGGGTCAAACATGAGTGAAAAGTGCTCATGGGTCAAACGTGAGTGAAAAGTGTTCATGGGTCAAACGTGAGTGAAAAGTGTTCATGGGTCAAACTGTAACATGTTGCACATGTTCCGTTTGGCGTAGTAATATTTCCACTCTTAATTATAGCTATGAATTGTGACTCTACTTCATGACATGTATGCATACGTCATTCGTACACACTCACAGGCACACACGCATGCGTATCCTTTCGTTGGCTCGCTCTGTTATGATGCTGGTTCTTCCTTTTGCTTGAAGAGAATGTTTTGGACTTGAGAGTTGCAGTTTTGATCTCAACGTCTTGTCATGGTTGGAACTGGTGCCTGGCTGGGGGCTGGGGAGTTTACGCTCCTGTGAATGTAATTGTAACCTCAGGCCAAGGTTACACGTGGTGGCAGCGAATTCGAATTCCACGTCTTGTGAGAGCACGCGTACCAAATTATTTGTGGAAGATTGATCGTGTAGAGATGGCTCAGCAAGGTGGCGCTCCTCCGCCCCCTCCACCACCACCACCGGGCCCAGCGCAACAACCAGCACGTCAACAACAGCAGATGCGGGCATGGGCCACACCAGAGAAATTCTCTGGCGAGCGCAACGCCGACTGGACATCATGGATTGGCCATTTTCGCCTCGTCGCGAATGCAAACAACTGGACACCGGCAGACCAAGGCAGGTACATTGGGTTGTACCTCACCGGCCACGCACTGTCTTACTTCCAAAGTTTGGAAGCCCATACGAGGACAGGCCCATTCGACCAGCTGCTGCAGGCGTTTGAACAGCGATTCGGCGACGCAAACTTCATCCCCACGTTCAGAGCAGAGCTGCAGTCACGCCGGCAAATTCGTGGCGAGTCCCTGTCGGATTTTGCGGAAGTCGTCCGCAGGCTCAGTAGACGGGCGTACCCCACGGTGGCTGGAGCAGTGCAGGATACCCTGGCGCGCGACACCTTTGTAGCCGGCCTTGACAGCAGGGACCTGCGCCTGCATGTTCGTGGCACGGACCCACCAACATTGGATGATGCACTCCGACGGGCTATGCATTTTCAGTGCATCCTGGAGGCAGACCAGCAGCAGCAGGCAGCTAGCCCAGTTGTATGTGCGGTGCAATCTCAGCCCAGTGACCCTACACTCAACGCCCTGCTGTCGAGGATGGCAGCCCTGGAAGACAAGATCTCCAGGCTCACGCTGGAGAGGCCAACTAATCTGCATCGGAGTGGAGATGGTGACACCAAGCGGTGCTATGTGTGCGACAGCACACTGCATTTCGCACCTGACTGTCCGCACCAGAGATACACACCGGCTAACCGTGGTGGTCACCGGGGTCGTGGACGCGGTCGGGGAAACTGAGCGTCGCTGACAACCAGGGTCCGCCGTCAGCAACCTCCCCAATGGACCCATGTACCGGTAAGCAGAGTCAACCGTGTTCGGTGTGTCATGAGGCTGTCTGCTTACCTACTGAGACAACTTGTAAGGCCTGCACAACTACTCCAGCCGAGTGTCCAGACAACTCGATCGTCCTGCCTCTGTCGTGTCTTGCAACACAGTCCGACAGCACGGTGCAGATCCAAGGCACGGTCGAGGCTGTGCCAGCCAACATGCTTGTGGACACCGGCAGTTGCGTAACGTTGTTGAGCACCAGCTTTGCTAAGTCTCTCTCTCATCGTAATGTTCATTTATCTATCTCACCCGTTAATACTGTTCTTAAAGCGGTAAATAATTCTTCTGTTCCTGTGCTCGGGGAAGCTGTCGTATTGTTAGCAACTGGCAAGCTTGCTGTACGCCACAGAGTCATTGTTGCTGACATTATGCCCGATGTGCTAATCGGCATTGACTTCTTGCAATCTCATGGCTGCACAATTGATTTCGGTCGCAACATGCTCGATGCAGGCGGTGTCGATGTACCCCTAGAGCCCACCCATAATGCTAATCCTGTAGTCTGCCGTGTTCATCTTGCTAATTCGGTTACTGTACCAGCATATACACAAGTCATTGTTCAAGCGCAGCTGCGTACCGATGATAATCATTTACCTAGCTCTGCTGGTTTTGTTTCACCTTCAGAGAAGTTTATTTCCAAGTTTAGCACTGCTATGTCACGTGTGGTGGCTACTCCTGACTCTGCTGGCCGTGTTTGGATTCGCCTACAAAATTTTCTTCCTCATTCCACAACTGTCCCGAAGAATTATCAAATTGCTGAATTTGATTCTGATATTTACATTGACGATGATCTCAATGATTCGCCTACGCATGCTGCCTCTGTTGACGAGCATAGCTGTAACGCAGTACAGGAAGAGAGCTGCTCACCTTCCGAGCCAGACGATTTATTTGACTTACGTCACCTCGATCCGCAAGCGCAGTCTGCTATAGCTACTGTGCTCAACGACAATGCCGATATCATCTCGCAGGGACAATTCGACCTTGGGAAGACTGATGTAGTAACACACAACATCCAGACTACATCTGATCAACCTAAGAGACAGCCACCCCGCCGAATTCCTCTCAGTCAACGAGCCGAGGTAAAGCAGCACGTTGATCAACTGCTTGATCATGAGATTATATCTCCATCCAGAAGCCCTTGGGCTGCTCCGATAGTTGTCGTACGCAAGCCTGACTCATCTATCCGGCTATGCATCGACTACCGGCAGTTGAACAGTATCACCGAGAAGGATGCCTTTCCCCTTCCTCGTGTGGATGATGCTATCGACGCTATGGCTGGTGCACGCTACTTCTCTACCTTAGATCTCGCAGCTGGCTATTGGCAGGTGGAGATAGATGAAGCTGCCAAAGCTAAGTCGGCGTTTGTGACACCGTTCGGATTATTCGAGTGGAACCGTATGCCGTTCGGCCTGTGTAACGCACCGGCAACTTTTCAACGCCTCATGAACCGGGTCCTTGGTGACCTAGTACCCAATATCTGTCTGGTCTACTTGGACGACATTATCGTGTTCTCATCAACGATTGAGGAACACATGAGTCGTCTGCAAACAATATTCAGTCGTCTTCGTCAAGCTGGCCTCAAGATCAAGCCCAAGAAGTGCTCACTGCTTCAGTCCTCAGTCACGTACCTGGGATTCTTATTCTCAGAGCAGGGTGTGGCACCGGACGCAAGCAAGTTCACGGCTGTTCAAGACTGGTCATCCCCAACATCACTGAAAGAGGTGCGTAGCTTTGTTGGCTTCGCATCGTACTATCGCCGCTTTGTGCCACATTTCTCAGAAATTGTAGAGCCCCTGAACCGTTTGTCCCAGAAGAATGCCACTTTCAACTGGACAGATGAGTGTGAACAGGCATTTGCTGAGCTGAAGTCCCGACTAGTCAAGTCACCTGTTCTGACATATCCTGATCCTGCCAAGCGCTTCATCCTGGACACTGATGCGTCAGATCTCGCCATGGGAGCTGTTCTCTCGCAAGTCAATAGTCACGGTGAGGAAGTAGTGATTGCCTATGCCAGCAAAGCATTAACGAGATCCCAACGTAACATGGGCAGTACACGCAAGGAGCTGCTTGCTGTTGTCACATTTACTGCACATTTCCGCCATTACCTACTTGGAAATCAGTTCACATTGCGAACTGATCACAAAGCGCTCATCTGGCTACATTCGTTCCGGGAAGTGGACGGTCTTCTAGCCCGGTGGATTGAGCGTTTGGCCGTCTTCGACTACGTCGTCACACATCGGCCCGGGAAGCAGCATGTCAATGCAGACGCCTTGTCAAGACTCCGCTACCACAGCCCGGCTACCGCAACCTCACCGACGCCAACGCCCGAGCAGAGAGTAGGTGAGCAGAATATTGTTGTCAATCACCTGTCTAGCGCTAGTCCTGATAGTAATCCTGTAACAGTCAATGCTGAAGTGTCGCCACCCAATTGGTGTGAGTCTTTCACTGTTGAAGAGTTGCGCAGAGCTCAATTAGAAGATGCAGATGTGAGTACAATGATCGGCTGGCAGGAGGCATTACTTGACAGGCCCCTGCGTAGTGATTCTGCCATGCACGGTGCGTCTATTGCATTGATACGATTATGGAGCCAGTGGAAGCGTCTTAGACTGATTGATGGAGTGTTGTACCGGGTTTACCACCCCGAGAATAGCGACACACCGTACCTACAATTTGTTGTACCACAGTCTCTGCAATCCCGCATGCTTCAGTCTGTGCATGCTGATGTCTCTGGAAGCCACTTAGGTATTGAGCGAACACAAGACAAGCTTCGCAAGCGGTGT